TCTCTCTCTCTCTCTCTCTCTCTCTCCCCCTCTCTCTCTCCTTTCTTTTCCAGCTTTCCATCCTTTTAATAGTAACATAATTTTGTCAATTTCTTCTAGTTCCAGGGCAAACATTTATGATCCCTCCCACCTCGACAACTTATTGCTTTTCTCTAATAGCCTCATCCCACATGCATTGGTCCTCTTCACTTTAGTATGGACTAAGCGTTACTTTCTACCATTCCGACTCCCCATTCTCCACCTAATTTGTACTAAAATGCTACTTAGGTCATGTTACCCTGGGTAGCAGCTAAAGCATCGTAACTCTGGTTTAGGCGAAAATCATGTTATTACATTTACCAAGGCACTGGGAACAGGCCCACGCCTTCTCTCTCTCTCTCTCTCTCTCTCTCTCTCTCTCTCTCTCTCTCTTGCTCTGTTATTTATCTAATCTATCTATCTTTATTTCTAATGTGCCCCCCCCCCACACACACAAGTTATGTGTACGCGCAGATATGCACCCTCGCACACGAACTCACTATATTATAATACACTTTCAAATAACTATAAGCTGTCTCTTCACTATTTTTTTTTCTAGCTAGATGCTATTTCTCTCTCTCTTTCTCTCTCTCTCTCTATCTATCTCTCTGTGACTCTCTCTGTCTCTCTCATTCTCTCTCTGTCTCCCCCTCTCTCTCTGTGTCTCTCTGTCTCTTTCTCTCCCTCTCTCTTTCTCTCTCTCTCTCTCTCTTTCTCGCTTTATCTATAAATCTGTTTTTCTATCTATCTCTTTATCTCTCTCCATCTCTCTCGTTCTCTCTCTCCCGCTCTCTCTCTCTCTCTCTCTCTCTCTCTCTCTCTCTCTCTCTCTCTCTCTATCTATCTATCTATCTATCTATCTATCTTTTCACCAGATAGGTATAACTAAACACGAAGAAAAAGCCTATCAAGTAATTGACTTTTTTCGTCTATGATCGAATCCGACAGAGTGAAATGGGCATTATTTCATTAATATATGATCAAATTGGTCCCTATTTGTTTGCAGCTGTAGTACAAAATAGCGAAGTATCAAAGACATGCATAATAATCTTCTTTAGCATGTAGCCCTGGCGAAGCAGATAAGCTTGAGATCTCTCATCGATGCACAGCTAAATGGACAGTGGTCAGTCCCTCTGGGATTTGCTGCTGGGCGGATAGCTTTTTATTATTAATCCGTATTGCTAGAGTACTTGTGGAAGACGGAGACTGGGAATGTGCATCATGTCTCTCTCTTCTTCTTTTTCTATTCCGTTCTCTTTCTCCATCTTTTCTTTCTTTGTCTATCCCCCCCCCTCTCTCTCTCTCTCTCTC